TCCTGCCCACACAACACATCTCATAAATTCCTTTTAATGTGCAGCAGCTTTGAAGACGTCCCTCCTCCCTCCTCCCCCCGTGTAAACGGCTGATGGCTCTGCCTTACCTGGGCGGCCGCCGCTCGGGAGACACATGGAATCTTTTAGGAAGGGAAATGATGGAATTTAGGGGAGACATGGGAAAAATAAACCTCCTGATTGCTCCATGATGGATCTGCGAGGGGAAAAAGTGACTCGCAGACCTTGTTTTCTCGCAGGCTTGCCAGCTAACTACTTTGGCAGCGCGTGTGAGGGGAAAAAAATCCCTCCTTTTAAAGTCAAGCCAGGGCTGATGTAAATATTTATGTAATATTTTATTGCAATCAGAATTCACTTCTTGATTGAAAAAATTTCCTAGGAACCCTGTGAAAAATTCGTATTAATACGGAATTTAAGTGTCTTGATTTGTTTTTAGCAGTGGCTTTGCCGGGAATGCCGACGGCTGTGGGGAAGGAGATTGGGATCGTGGTGTGCAATCAGGATCAGGCCCTGCCTGGGTGCCAGTCCTGCAGAGCTGGTCTCTCTTTGCCTCTCCTTCGTTGCATGGAGATGCATTGGTCAGTGCAGCACACAGGAGAACGGAGCAGGCGTGGGGCTGCGGGCGGCTGCTTGGGCATCCTGACTGCAGGGCAGCGGGAGCAGCTCCCCTTCAGAACCACCTCCAGCCCTCTCTTATGCATGGTGTTCCCCTCCAGAGCGTTCTCTGCTTGTGCTCTGTGAATGCCAGAGGTGTAAATATTTGGAGGGAAGAAGCAGTGGGTGGGCTGCAGTGGGAGGAGATGCAGCAGAGGGATGCTGATGTGCACGGGGCTGCATGTGTGCACATGTGTGTGTTGCACACCCACGGTCCTGGGTGCACAGAGGGATGTGTGTGTGTGTGTGTGGGGGGGGTGTTTGTAGGGCACAAAAAAATCCTGTAAATTCCTCAAAGGCCTCAATGCTTAGGGCTGGAGTGGCAGGGTGCCTTTAAACGTGCTGATGAGGAAACATAGGGGTTGTAACGAGGAGAGGCTGTGCTAAACGAGTGGCAAGCCAATTAGCTTGCTTTAAAACATCATATTAATTAGCATGAAAATAAAGCCGAACTTTTTCAAGATAATTGCATCTTTCAAATATCGGTATTCTTGATCCGTGATCGTCTCATAAATATGCATTATGATATAATCCTTTAAAGACATGCTGTTAATGAGGAGCACGAGGAATGTGCTAGATGTTGGAAATGGTGGCACGAAATGGAGCAGGGGTGGCACTGCCCTTCCCGAGGGGTGCAACTTGCATGTGGCTTTTTGGCATGAGTCGTGTACAGAAAGTGGTTGGAAGGTGAATAGAGACAGAGGGAATGGAGCTGGTGTTCCTCTGCTCTGCTCTGCTCGTGCTCTGAGCTTCACTGGAGCGTCGCACTTTAAGGCTGAGCTACCAGGAGTTGCTGGCATGTGCAGTTTGGAGCTGATGTTGTAAAAATGGAACTTAGTCATCCCCTGTGGCTTTATTTATGGCTTGGGGAGAAGGAGGCTGGCAAGAAAAGGAGCTGTGCTCAGCACCATGCATGGCAGTGCTCAGGCTCTGGGGCAGCCCCCACCCACTGGTCCTACTGCCAGCCCCACTGCCAGCCCTGTGGGGTTGGGGTGGTGTCTGCATCACCTGCTCAAGCCGTGCGATGGGGGAAGATTCCCCCAGCCTGTTTGTGTGGATGGCATTGTGCAGAACTTGAGCACTTCCAGAGGTGCAGCCTGAATGCTGCTAGGTGGCCGTAACCCCATCCTGCTGCCCATCCTCACCATGCTGCTCCTTCTTCCTGAACATCACAGGAGTTGGCTGCTGGGATGGTGCTTCCCTCCCGCTCTATTTGCCCATCTGCAGAATCTATGATCTTAGGGAAGGTTGGCAAAGGCCTCTGAGATCGCCTCGTCCAACCAAACCAAAGCATAAAGCCCAGGCCATGGGTTAATCAACGTCTGTATGATATTTTGAGAACATAAAGCTCACACGTTAGTAAGTTATGGCTCTGCTATGGCCAAAATGCTGCAGGCTTGGGCTGACAGTGCTGCACAATGCCCAGCGGAGTCGCAGCAGCACTTCTGTTACTGCACCCAGCATTCCAGTAAGCACTTGCTGCTTTATGGAGAAACAGGACAACGTCCCTTCCACAGGGCAGTCATCAGCCACAGCTGCAGGCTGCACAGTGGGGTGAATTCAGTTTTTGCCATTTTGCTTTCTTTGCCATTTTCTCCTGGGGTAAATGGGTTCCTGCATCTCCTGCTGTTTTACATTCCCTCCTGGCTTTGTTAAGAAGATGAAGCTGCATGATGGGACAGCTTGTTGGTGGTGAGCCACCAAGACAGAACTCGTCAGCATGTATCAACCTCTGTCTTTGGAACCTAGATGGATTTTCTTCCTTTCTCACTTATTTTGGTGTCCCCAGAGGGTGTTCTGGAGGGAGCTGGCAGGTTGGGCAGGCGCAGAGATGAGCAGAGCTGGCAGTGCTGCTCTCCCTGCTGGGGACTGGGTTATCCCAGCTCCTCCTGCTGCAGGGAGTGGTGGGAGATGCATTCCCAGCCTCCTTCCCGGAGCGCTTTGCTTTATGGCTGGTTGCACAGACTGCTGCGAATGGAGTGCCCGACCGCGGCGCTGAGTGTTGCCTAAGTAATGCCTGGCATTAAAGAATAATGCTAATTTCTCTTAAGAGATGGCAGTGCTAATGGGTTTTTTGATTGCACTGTATGCTTTTGTTCTTCTGCTTGGCCAGCAAAGAACAAGTCATTCCTAATGAATGCAGCGTTTCGAGGCCAGCAGGGGAAGGGATGCCCCGCCAGCTCTTCAGGTGTCTGCTAATGGCACTGTGGTGGCACTCCAGATGTCAAGGATGGGTCACCCACAGCCCATGATGCCATTCATTGCAGGTTGTCCCTAAATACCCCCACATTGACATCACCAGGAAGTTCATTGGTTCCATGGGGCTGGATGTGCCCTGCAGTAGGGCATGGCATAGATGGGCGAAGCTCTGGGTGCAGGAACCCTCCCCAGACACGAGGCTTTGGCACATGTCTAGCAGCTCTTCACGGGTTTAGCGTGACTGCAAACGTGCACTGCTTGGGTTTAATAATTAACCAGGGCTTTATTTAAGTCCATCGCTGCACTGCAGTAATGATTCATCAGATACCTCGTAATGTGTACGCTGTAATTTTTATTAGGAGGTACTTCTAAAGCACAAAGCTGGTTGTTACCTGTTTGTATTCAAACACGTCATTAGTTACTGTGTATCGTGGGTCAACACTCGGGCATAAAACAATCCCTTTTCTTCTCTTGCAATGATTAACCCATCTATCAGCAGGCTCTGTTTAATATCTGTCACTATAAACAGTCATTACTTTCAAGAATAGCCAGATGGACAGATAATTTAAAACATATCTTGGAATCTATTTTAATTTTTAGAGGCCTAACTTAAGAAAAAAATCGTCGAAATGCCCATGCAATCACACGCCCAATTTGTGTGCGTAATTACCTTGATTACATGTGTGCTTGTGGTAATTGTCACCACAGATGGCACTGGGATGCATGAATGGTCACTTGTGCATGCAGAGCTGCTCCGCATACCTCGCCAGGGAGGTTGCAGCTGCAAATTGGTGAACGCACTGCGTTCTGCGCTGCAGGACGGGTGTGCAGGGCTGTAGGGCTGCTGAGCCCAGCTTGCTTCAGGCACTTGGGTGCAGGCATGGGGAGCTGGCAGGGGGCCGGGAGGCATTGCCATAGGGCACAGGGTTTGGGGCCTCGTCTGCTTGCTGGGCTGTGCTGTTCTGTGGTCTGGGTGGTGCTGATGGGGGTCACCATGTCTGCCCTTCACCATGACAAGTCTGCCTGCAAATTTATCCGTGGGCCACCCACGTGCTGTCCTGTTTGCTGCCCCACTGGTGCATCCCCATGTTGCTCCGTTTGTTGCACTGTTGGTGCATCCCCATTGCCCTTGGTTGTACAGCCAAGTGCTGCTCTGTCAGCTCAACCACCTGCCGCCCCTTTAGCACAAACAATCAAGACCTCCAAGGTCATCAGGTCCGACTGTCAACCCATCACCACTATGCCCACCTATGGAATCTGTAAGGTTGGGAAAGATCTCCAAGGTCACCAAGTCCAGCCATCAACCACCATGGCTGCTTATGGGGTCATGGCATTGTTAAGGCTGGAAAAGGCCTCCGAGGTCATCAAGTCCAGCCCCAATCCATCCCCACCATTCCCACTAACAGTGCCCTCCCGTTACACAGCTGCACCCAGCAGTTCCCATCCCAGGCCAGCAGCTCTCCATGCTGTAGCACTGCCCTGAGTGGAATTAAGGATGCCCACTCATCAGGGTGGAGGGAGAGAGACTTAGGAGGCAGTCTATCTAAAAGTTATTATTAATTTTTATTGCTGCATGGATTTAGAGATTTGGAAGAAGATAAATTCCAAACAGACATCCATTACTAAACCGACAGTGTAGCTTAAAGATAACATTTACATTCTTACGGTGTTGATCTGTATCTGATCCCACTCAATCTGCTCCCTGTTCAAACTTTTTGCCACCTTCAGAAGGATCAATACCTACATCAAAGGTTATATGAAGGTGGCCAGATTCTTTTAAGCTGTTTGCATAGCCCTCAGTTTGCTGTGCTAACACAGGCTGGTACTTCTTCCAATAACTCTGTTTGCCTTGTATTAGGGCTGTTTGCTGAAACACCTAGCAGAATCCAATAGAGGACAGACTTTCTAAACATTTGGTCACATCTGTCAATCAATAACACCAATCGGTTTCCTGATACAAACAGCAAACTCTGCCAAATCTAATATTTGCCCAAACTTTTACTGACTCTTGCTGGTTTAAAACAGTAAAAGGCACCGGAGCAGACATCGGTGCGGAAAGGTTCTTGCTAATATTTAACCTTGGGCAAACAGAGAATAATTCCAGCAATGGAAGGAGAGAAAACAAACAGTGTAATTATTGTCCCCTTTTTATTGGAGATAATTTGCTTAAATGTACAGCTATTATCTGCTAATACGGCGAGGTATAATTGGAAGGAACAAAATACAGGTTTGGCCGACGCGGCGTGGGTCTCAACTCTTGAACCTTGCCCCCTGCCCCCAGAACGTGTTTATGCAGGTGATCTTGGAACAAACACACGCCGTTATCAGCGAATGGAAAACACCTGACTCAAAAACAAACAGCAAAAAAAAAAAAAAAAGGAGAGGGAAAATGTACTCAGAGGTCTCAGGGCAAATCTGGATTGTGGATTGAAACCAAGAGGAACGATGAGGATGGATGCTTTTCTGGAGTGGCTGCGGGGCTGGGGTGGGTGGCTGGAACTGTAAAGCAGGGGATGCTTTCCGTGTGCATCTGGAATGAAGCGAGGGGATGGTTGAGATGTGGGGGCACCTCCATCCGTGGGGTCCTGGTCCCCATAGTACCACCATTGCAGGCTGTGGGTGATGGTGTGGTTGGTCTTTATTACATTGGGTCGTGGAAGGAGAATAACTGGGACAGATAACGACCTGCAGCTTTCGGTAGCCATGTCTATCTTTGTGATAAGCAACAGTCACTCTCTGTGCAGGTAGAGCGCTCCGTCTCTACGCCTCAAAGAGCTGTTTTCCCCAGAACAGGATTCTAATTGGGCTCTGATTGAGAGCAGAACGCACCTGAAAGATGCACAGAGCACTGCTTCCCACAGCAGACAGCCTCTGCATTTTGAATGCAGCCTCACATGGCGTGTACTCTCATCTCTAACACTTTGTTCATTGCTGTGCACTGCTAAATATTGGATAATGGGAGTTAGCAAATGTTTTTTGCAGAGGGAAGCAAGTAAAGCAGAAAGTAGACGTGCTGCTTGGCTTGCAAAGGGAATTACGCTGCAGGTGACGGAGATGGTGCTCTGGGATGGGTGGTGAATGAAGTCGGGTTGAGCAATGCTTCTCCTCTGCCCCTGTTTTGCCCAACAAGTGGCTCCCAGCCCTTGCAGATGGTGTCCTGGGCAGGATGAGCCCACACAGAGCCCGTCAGCAGGGCGAGATGGTGCAGTCCTGAGTCACTGCTATTGCAGCAGATCCCAACCTGCATCTGCAGTGGGTGTTTGTGTCTGGCCCTGAGCCTTCCTCGCTGGGAAAAACCACATAGGTTTGCAGCAGAACATCTTTGGAGCAGCCCTTGGGGTATCCAGGGGACATCTGCCCATCCCGGTCACTCCGGAGAGCTGAAGCTCACTGCAGCTTAGCAGGCTGAAGTAAGAAGTTTGCATGTTACTCAGGGAGGAAAAATCAGAGGCACAGGGCACTGTGGGCAATTGCATGGATAAAGTGCACGGGTATGGATTAAAGCCCAAGTGTGGTGCTGCCCAGGAGCAGCACGGTGCGATGGCAGCGCATGGCAGCAGATGGCAGTGGCTCCGTGCTGCCTGTGGACAGCCCTGGGCAGTGCTTTGCACGGCAAGTGTCAACGTCTGGGGCTCTGGGATTCAAAATGAACTCTTATTTTTGCTGAATGAGATTGAGCTGAGTGGATGAGAGATGGGAATCAGTGGGTGTGCTGCAGAGCGCACCCTGCACTGCGCTGTGGGGGCCACAACCATGAGTTTGGCCCCATGGGAGATAGCCAGGATGGCATCAACACCACAGAAGGCTGCAGGGGCCGGGGGCTGCCCTGTGTGGGCACAATGCCTGCCAGGGGTGGGCCTGAAAGGAAGGAAGGAAGGAAGGAAGAAGGGACTCACCTGCAGAGCAATGGGATGGGAGCATGCCCCGAGCCACACCGGTGGGAACTTTGTGTTAATTGCCATCCAGACTGCTCTAATTACAGGCTGGAGAGGAGCTGCATCGGACCTGTTCTTCCTTATCAGTTTATTGCCGTGATGTTTTCCTAGATTCCGGGATGAATCAGAGCATTGCATTGCCTTTCGTGCTGGCTGGAATATATTTCCTGGAGAATGTGAAGGGTGTTTTAGTGCTATTAATGAGTAATTAACCTGGATGCTCTGGGTTAGAGGCTGCTTGGCGTTCACGGCTCATGGGAAAACTCAACACGAGGAAGTTGGGAGGCGGCCATGCCCAGCACCTGTGGGAACAAAGCAGGTTTCTGTGCTGTGACAACAACAGCAGAGGATGGCCTTGGGAAGGCGGCCACGCATTGATTTGTTCCTAAGCTTCAGCAATGCCTTGGCTGGGGTGCAGCATGCTCTGAGGGATGAGCAGTGAGCGTGACTCAGCGTGCAGCATGGCCAGGCACTGCTGCCCAATCACCGAGGAATGGCCCTGGAATAACAGTGGAGTGAAATATTTGAGACCTTTCTGGAGATGGATGGTCAAAAATTTCAGCTTCTGCTTTGACTTTTAAATACACTGAAACCTTCTGTCTGTCTGCGGGTTGATCCCAAGGGACAAAGTGATGGAGAAGTTGCCATCAGCCCAGGTGATCGGCACCGAAGGGGCTGGACCATCACAGCAGAGCATCTCAAAGGTTGCTGTGGCTTAAGGAGATTCTGGCACTGGGGTGGTGCACAGCAGGTGGGCTCCTCTCAGGGCAGCCCAAGTTTCATGGCCACATCTGAGGGTGGGAGAGCTGGGCCCCTCCATGGCTTGGTGGTGGCATGAGCCATGAGGTCCTTGCCCATTCAGCCGGGGACATCTGTCCCCACTGCCCTGGGTGATGCTACAAGAGGTTTAGGAGCCTTTAAATGCCTCTGCAAAACAATCTGCATCATTGCCATTTATTTAGGATACAGCACTGACCCAGACCTCAGATGGCTTCCTGTAGGATCCAGCCCGCTCTGGCCAAGGCAGATGGCACAGGGTGGGGAATGACATCAGGGATGTGGGTGAAGGTGGAAAACCCCGATGTGAGTTAATGGTGGGAGGTGCTTGCCTTTCTGGAGGTGAACTGACCTCAGAAATGGGGAAGACACAAGAACCAGGAGCTGATGGCTGTGCTGAGGATGTGCATTTGGAGGCATCACCAGCCAGCAGAGCACGGGGACAGGCACAGCGATGATGGGGCTGTGGGGATGACCCTTTGGGTGTGCTGAGTGCCTCCATCCATCAGAGGGATAAAACCCCACAGCAGGCACTGGGATGGTGCAAAGAGAAAACCCTGAGGGCGGCAGGTAGGAGAGTCTAATTGCTGCACTCATTGCATGCGTGATGCAAGATGCAGTGGCTGCAGCACGCCTGTGCTCAAGGAATCCCCTGCAGCCATCCCTGGAGATGCAAGGATTTGGTTATTAAAACCACCAAAACACCCCCAAGTTAGAGCTGCATGCATTTTCCTGCATACAGTCCCCATCTTTGTGTCATGCACAGATCAACGCTGGGATTTCCTTCCCCCCCATCTTTTTCTTTGCCTCTGGCACAAATTCCAGCATGGGTTTAATGTTTGTCAAGCAGCATGAGACCTGAAATGAAAGGTGCTACGCAAGCAGAGGGCAGACTTTAAGCCTGTGTGATGGGCTCTATAGAAATGCTTGTATAATAATAATGACATTAATAACAGGCTGTTGTTTGTCATCGAGCAGATCCCCGGCCTGGGCACGCCCAGAGCAGCTAATAGTGAACAGAGAGCTTCTGCCTGCACTCTGCTCCAGGAACAATGGGTGTAATAACTCCCAAATTGCTCTCCAAAACCCTGGTGTGGTCCTCCTCCTCGGGGCCTTTCCTGGGACACAAACAGCTGAGAACAGGGTTTCGTGGAAACCAGCTACCTGCTGTGCTCCAGCTTTTGTTGCTGGCTCGTGCTCTGTGAGTCATTTATTGCCTGAATGTTCTGTCTCAGTTTTTCTGTCGCAAAAAGAGGAGGGGAATCTTTCATCTTCTCTGCTGTTTGTGGACACCTGGAGCAGAAGGTGATGGGTGGGCTTGGTGATTTCAGTCATCTTTTCCAACCTTACTGATTCTGTGACTCTAAGGTTCTTCCAGCATCCAGCCTCCATTGTAGGGCAGGGGGAGCCTCCTGGTCAGTGATCCCCAATGCAGTGCTGGTGGATCCCTAAAATTTGATATATTAATTATCACATCAACATCTCTCCATCACTATGCCTGCTTTCCGCCTTTGCACGCAGCTGTGTATTGCTCCTCAGCAGTCAGTGCGTGCAGAAAAGTGGCTTCTGCCTTATTTGTGGGGCTCATGAATGGAATGCCTCCAACGTGGATGTCACGTCCTGGAGCTTGGATGCAGTGGTGACCTCCCTCATAGCATCATAGACTCATAGAATCGTTAGGGCTGGAAAAGACCTCTAAGATCACCATGCCCAAGTGCCAGCTCTGCCTCTCATCTCTCTGCCTCCTCAAGCAGAGGAGGAGGAACTTCCCAATGTCAGCTTTAGATGCCAAACCCAGGGCTCGCAGTGATAACATGGAGCTTGGATTCTCATGCAGGGCTGCCCCGGGAGGAGCCGGCTGCTCGGTGCGCCAGACGGGCGCTGCTCTCTGCCTTTGCCTGCTATGCACACACAGCTATTTGTATAAACTGGTGGACGCACGTGGGAGGCGAGCGAGGCAATCAGTCTGGCTCTGCAATCTGGAAGGGAAGTGAAATATGTCTGTAAAGCTGGGTGTGAATGGAGAGGAGTGACAAATGCAGGCAGTGCAGAGAGCACGCTGCTGCAGGGGTGGGTGCCACATGGGTTTGGATTTGTAGGGTGGCAGCACGGGATGCTTGCAGCACTGATGTCTGCTGTAGGATGCCCATACATCCTCCATAGAGTCCTTAAGGTCGGAAAAGGCCTCTAAGATCACCAAGTCAACCCATCCCCACCATGCCAAGCCGTACAGTCACAGAAGGGCTTAGGGCTTAGGGCTTAGGGCTGGCAAAGACCTCTCAGATCCCCAACCCCAACCCATCCCACTGTGCCCATGGCCCACATCCCTCAGTGCCACATCCCTGCAGTTTTCTGGAACACCCCCTGGGATGGTGACCCCACCACTCCTGGGCTGCTGTGCAGTGCAGCACTGCTCTTATGGAGAAGAAATATTCCCTAACACCCCACCTGAGCCACCCCTGGCACAACGTGAGGCCGTCACCTCTTGTCCTGTGGCTGTGAAAAGATGGGTAACCACTTCACTGCAACCTCCTTGTCCCTTCCACAGCACTCTCACTCTTCTTCCCCCTGCAGAGGGTCACCATCTGTCTGTCCATCCGTCTGTCCATCCACCCCACAGCACGCACATGTATGGGAGGAGCCTTGGCACAGGGCAGCGCACACTGACCCCAGGCAGGGAACAAACCCCTGGGTCCTGCCCAAGGTGACGGGCAGCAACGGAACAGCTCTGCAGTGTTTGCTTTGTGCGAGTACACAATAACGCTGTAACCTTGGGTTGTTTGCACTAGCCAGGAGTGTCATTGCCAGCGTTGCATTCAACAGTTGTACTTGACTGAATAAGCAGACGTTTTTTTTTTCCCCCTCTGTCATAATGGCACTGTCCCACGGAGGGGAGATGGATTGCTTTTTCGGTTGCACATGCTGTTATCGCTGCGCTGTTCTAATGCTAGTCAAACAGTGCTGTGAATAGCCAAACTCAATAGCAGCAGTGTTAGGCTGGAAAGTCAATATTAGCTGAGCAAACAAAGCAAATAAAGAGTTGCTATTTGCGTAGCTATGAGTATTTGTATGCTCTGCTGCTGAACAGGGTACTTTGAAATAATAATTAAAAAAATGTTGTTCTTCAAGGCAGGGAATGTTTTTTATTTAGGGTAGAGGAGTCAGCTTTTATGAAAGGCAGCGTTCACTTCCCTGTGAGCAGCCCCACGAGCATTGGCTGCTCTCTGCCCCATAGGATGCTGCTGCGTGGCAGGGCCGTGCGTGTCGGGAGCGCGGTTCCTTCTGCTTTCTTTTGCATTTCACTGTTTCTTGTTAAGGTTCTGGCGTGTTTCGAGGTTCGCTGTGTGACCTTCTAAATGGCACATGCCTATTTATAAGCAGCTGTCTGTGGCCTGGTGCCACTTTAAGAAGGCCTGGAAATGAAATCCAATAAACCCTTCCTTCATTAATATTGGATATCTCAGGGCACGCACCCAATGTGCATGTTCAGGAGGGGGGGTGGCAGCCCACCTCCCTCAAGGGCTGTTTCCTTTTGGGAAGCGTTGCTGGCACCACGTGCAGAGGTTGGATGCAGATGTGGGCCCCTGGCTGCTGTCTGCCAGGACCCCAAACTCATGGGATGAGCTGCTCCACGGCTGCCATCTGCAGAGAATTTTTCGTGCAATCTCTGGGCCAGGATGCTTCAGATCTAAATAATACAGCTAAGGGATTAAATAATTAATTCCAAAGGAGGAGAGGCATAGGCAAGGGAATGAATATACACAGCAGGTTGGGCTGAGCTGGAGGGAGATGGAGAGTCGGCGTGGTGCAGAACAGGGACGGCACTCATGCTGGGGAGGTCAGGAGACTGAAGGAGATGAGATGGGGATCGCAGAGCCATAGAATCACTGCATTTGGAAAAGCCCCCAAGATCTGCACATCCAACCAACCCATCCTCACCCTGCCCACTGACCACAGTGCCACAGAATCATAGATTAGCTTCGGACAGAGGGGATCTCCAAATGCTCCAAGTGCCACATCTCCATGGCTCTTCAGCATCACCAGGGCTGGTGCCCCCACCGCTTTCCTGTGCCAACACCTGACCAACACTTAGCAGTTAAAACAGAGCTCAGTGCGTGCATTTGCTGCAATCCTGCTGCAGTGTCTGGGCTCCAACTTGTTGCATTGCTCCTGTCAGTCCCATATGGACATCAGTCTCCCCTTCTTCCCTAATTTTGGTACTGTGCTTCTAGGTGCTCCTAGAAATGTAAAAATGTCTTCTTCTCCATGCTGCTCGGTGTGTCCTGATGTCGCAAAGCACATTTACTGCACAATTATAGTGCTGGCTAATGCTGTTTGGAATAATTAAATTCACATGACAAATGTAGTTGCATTAATTTTATTTATCTTGAGTGGCTTAACAGGAACTAGCAATGGAAAAAGTAATTATTTTGCTTCTAGGGCACTGGGATTGCTGATTTGGAAACCTCTCTGAGACATATTCCTTAAATGTGGAATAGCAGCATGTGAAATGCATGAGGAGCTAATACAGTGCATAAAAATGAACGTAATTTCTGAAAAATGGAATTAATGAGGCAATGAGACTGTTTTAATGAGCATAAGGTCTGCAGTAAATGTCGCTGTTCCCATGTCTTTATTGTAAATTATAATGAGCGTTGCAGCCAGCGCTGCGGGATGCGGGGAGGGAGGCGGCGGGAAGGGAGGGATGGAACCCGATTTGGGACCCTCTTCTCTCCCTTCTCCCCCTATTTGGTGGAAACGTTTTTATTCCCTCGCGTACTTGAAGAGCTCACACCACTGTCTGATTCCTCTTGTTCAATGGGTGGATGAGCAGCTCCAAGCCAGGGCTGTGGCTGCGTACCGCTGGGAGAGGCGCTGCGTGCCGTGTGCTCCGAGCCAGGTATAAACCAAACCCTTCTTTGCACTGAGCTATTGCAAATCGGCTTGATGACTTTGTCTCCAACCAGCAGTGCAAAAGTGGCTTCTGCTGAGCACAGGATAGGAATAACCACAGCGGGCGGATGGCCTGAGGCCACGGTGATGGGCACGGTGACGGCACCGCATGTGGAGACATTTCCTCTCTGCTTTTTCTCGTTTTCTCCTTAATGCAGCCTCACTGTGAAACTGTTCTATGTTTGCAATTTAGAGAGATATGACAAACAGGATCATCTTTGCCTTAGCTTTATTCTCAGTTTTGCTTTCTTTTCCTGTTGCCACTAGCAGGGTCTCTGTGGTCCCATTGGATCCCGTGGGGGAGGTTCACGCTGACTTTCCATGCTTTTCCCCCAAATCCAGCAGCAGAAAGACGCAGGACTCAGAGATCCTCTTTGCCTCCTCCCAGCTCAGCAGTGGGTCAGCACCCCATGAGCACCTCCAGCTGGTAAATCCCTGCTGCCCCGGGGTGGTTTGGTTGCCTTTACCACCTCTGTTATCAGCGCTCCTGCTGCTTCAATGGGGAATTGGGGTCACTGAGTGGTTTCTATGGCAATTCTCAAAGATGTGCCCTGGGATCTCTGCACAGAGCTCCTGTTGTGCTGCAGGGCCCTGCTCTGCCATCGGTGCTGCCCCAGCGCTGGGATGGATGTGTCCCTGCAGGAGCTGCGTGAGGTGGTGACTTCTGGAGAAGAAACAGCCACAACCTCCGGGTGCTGGTGGAGCCCTGCGTCGGAGCCTTCCACACCCACAGCGGAAGACACAAAGAAAAACGCCATTTTGAGCAGAATTTTGAAGCTTTTTGAAGTCTTTCCTTCTTTTGTACTTGGGTTTCCCTTTCGTTTAAAAGGCAGGAAAAGAGGAAAGAAAAAAAAAAGAAAGAATTACAAAGAAGGGCCCCCAGAGGGTCTCTTCCCTTATTTTTTCCTCCATTCTTCCATGGAGGAAAGGAGAGAAAAAGGACACAAGTGGGAAGAAATGCATTTCCTCACGCGGTGCCCAGGTGCAGCGTGGCCATCCCCACCCCACATTCCCTGCACTCCCCAAAAAGGGCTGCCCAACACAGGGCTTTGTTCCGCTCGGCGGAGGTTGGAGCGCTGTGACCGCTCTCCCCTGGCAAGCGGCTGCCTGTTTACAGACATGTAAATACAACTTCACAATTGCCATAAATCCTATTGTGCAATATTCTCTCCAACCAATTAGATCCTGACATCTGCTTAATGTTTAATTACTTTTTGACGAAGGAAACGGAAAAATTGACAAATAGTTTAATCCATCAAACGTCGGCCTTTTGTGAGCGTGTTTATATAAAGCTCACATGCCAACATCTCTTAATTTTTCTTGCTGCTCTGGCAAGGATGAGGACAAATATTTATATTCCAGGCACACAAGATGGCTTTCATATTGTTTTCATGTTTAACTGATTTCAAATGAACTAAGATGGCTCTTAATGTGGTTACAAGAATTTGCCATTAATTTTCACTTAAAATTGGATCCAGCTTGCTACATGTCTGCAATATATTAAAGTTAATAACGATTTGTTTAGAAAGCGCAGTGCTTACTGCTGACTGATTGGCACACGGTCGCTTGGTGGAAACGTCGGATTCCTATTATATTTAAATGATAATTAAGCTTAGAATATTACTCCTATTTCGGAGTGCTTAATGCAGAATACTTTGGTTAATGGGATGGGAACAAACAGCGCAGCACCTCAGTGGCACAGTACGTAGGGGCTGCGCTCCTCCACCCACTTCTACATGCTGCTATGATGCTGCTTTCGTAGATGCACAGAGTTATAGAAGCACTGAGGTTGGGAAAGACACGGATTTAGGGCCACGAGTGGATGATGGGGGATGTGGATGATGCATTTCTAGGTAAAGTCTGGCAGCGGTTCTGCTCAGCACCTTCACCCCCAGGGTACCACACAGTGCCAATGGGGGACGTGTGGGTGATGGGTGAACGGGCCGGGTGATGGGTGGGAGACGGTGGGGATGGGTGAGGGGTGAAGGGGAATGGGCGATGGAGGAAGGTGATGGCTTAAGGGGATGGGAGTGAGGTTGGATGGTGGGCAGTGAGGATGGATAACGGGCGACGGCTGATGGCTGATGTGTGATGGGTGCTGCAGATGGATGACGCGTGATGGCTGATGGAAACGAATCGTGGGTGATGGGAGAAAGAGGTGGAAGATGGATGAAAGTGATGGAGATACTCATGCTGTATCCAGCCGTGCCTGCAGTGGCTCCAGCCCCTCAAAGTAATTGGCTTTTCATCCCAAGCAGCACTATGGGGATCTGGAAGACCTGCAGCTGCTGCTGCCTTCAGGCACTCCTTGAGGAACACGGTGATGCAAAACCTCCCCACCCTTCTTCTGTGCTCAGTGGCCTCAAAGCTCAGCTTACAAAGAGCAAAGGGTTGGTGAGTAAGCCTTGCTTTCTTGCAGCACTCTGCTGGGGTATATCAAAGAGTTTTTTAGAAAAAAAAGCTTTCTGGATGGGGTGTGACTGCTGCTTATTGAGGTGGCCTTTGCTCTCTATGCCTTATTTGCTTTGTTTATCCTCGGATTTATTTCAAGCTGTCCCATGCTGGCCCTGTTCTGACTCTCCCCTCCAGCCTCTGGTCCCAACCACGAGCAGGGCCCAGGCGATGCTCCCACTGCTCCTACAGCTCCTGCTCCCCATTGCTT